GCAAATCACTATGGATTTCGTTGTTGGACTCCCACGGACTCACCAGAAGTTTGATGCAGTTTGGGTGATTGTGGATAGACTGACCAAGTCAGCTCATTTCCTTCCTGTGATGACTACATATTCTTCCGAGCAGCTGGCTCGAGTTTATATCCGGGAGATTGTCAGACTTCATGGCATGCCGGTATCTATCATCTCTGACCGAGGTACGCAGTTTACATCACGGTTCTGGAGAGCCGTACAGCATGAGTTAGGTACTCGGGTGGAGTTGAGCACAACATTTCACCCTCAAACGGACGGGCAGTCCGAGCGCACTATTCAGATTCTTGAGGATATGCTCCGTGCGTGTGTGATGGAGTTTGGAGGTTCATGGGATCAGTTCTTGCCACTTGCGGAGTTTGCCTACAACAACAGTTATTAGTCCAGCATTCAAATGGCACCGGATGAGGCTTTGTATGGTAGGCGGTGTCGGTCCCTAGTGGGTTGGTTCGAGTCGGGCGAGGCTAGATTATTGGGCACGGACTTGGTTCAGGATGCCTTCGAGAAGGTGAAGGTGATTCAGGATAGAGTTCACACACCCCAGTCCAGACAGAAGAGTTATGCGGACCGGAAGGTTCGCGATGTTTCATTTATGGTTGGAGAGCGGGTCTTGCTTCGGGTTTCGCCTATGAAGGGCGTTATGAGATTTGGAAAGAGGGGCAAGTTGAGCCCAAGGTTTATTGGTCCCTTTGAGGTGTTGCGGCGTGTTGGGGGGTTGCTTATGAGCTTTCCTTACCTTCCAGCCTAGCAGGAGTTCATCCGGTATTTCATGTTTCGATGCACCGGAGGTTATACAGCGATCCGTCTCACGTGTTGGATTTCAGCTCTATCCAGTTGGACAAGGATCTATCTTATGTTGAGGAGCCAGTGGCTATTTTGGACAGGCAATTTTGAAAGCTGAGGTCGAAGAACATTGCATCAGTAAAGGTTCATTGGCGGGGACAGCCGGTCGAGGAGGAGACTGGGGAGTCCGAGTCGGACATGCAGAGTAGATATCCCCACCTTTTTACTAGCCCAGGTACTTTTCTATGTCTGTTCGAGAACGAACGGTTGTTTTAGAGGTGGAGAATGTGATGACCCGATAGGTCATCTTATGAAATAAAACCAAATTCTATTTTTCGAGGCCTTAAAATTTTCATTTTACTACTCCTTGATTTGCGTGCGCAGTCCGGGCGTGATCTCGGAAAGCTTTTATGTTGAAAGTTGATAAAAATAAGAATTTTTGCTTAAAAACTTCATTTGAGTTGACTTCGGTCAACATTTCAGGTAAACAGACCCGGATTCGTATTTTGACAGTCCCGGTGGGTCAGTTTCAAAATATGGGACCTGAGCGTATGCCCGGAATCGGAATCGGAGGTCCCCTAGCTCGAGTTATGAATTTTTGTTGAAAATTGAGAGTCTGAAAATTTAATGGTTTTTAAGAAATTTTTAATGTTTGATCTTGTTGGTACCGGGTAAGTATTTTGGTTCCGGATCCTGGTACAGATTCAATATAATATTTAAGACTTGTCTATAAAATTTGATGAAAAACGGAATTGGTTTGACGTGATTCGGACGTCCGGTTGAGAAAATAGAAATTTCAAAGTGTTCTTGAGAATTTCATTCGATTTGGTGCTAAATTTGTGGTTCTAGGTGTATTTTGGCTATTTGATCGTGCAAGCAAGTTCGTATGATGTTTTAAGACTTGTTTGCATGTTTGGTTTTGAGCCCCGAGGGCTCAGGTGAGTTTCGGATAGGCTACGGAGTGATTTGAACTTGGAAAAATTTGCTGGTGTAACTGAGCAGGTTGCATGCCTCTGATCTCCCATTTGCAAGATTAGGCATCGCAATTGCGACCTCTGAGGGGTCCGCATTTGCGAGCTAATTCTCGCATTTGCGAGGAGAAGCTGGGCCAGCAGTGTTCGCAATTGTGAACTTCCCTTCGCATTTGCGAAGGAAGTCTGGGAATGGCAGGGGTCGTAATTGCGATCAGTTGGTCGCAATTGCGGATGGTCAAGCTCGCATTGCGAGACTTTCTTCACATTTGCGATGAAAGCAGGAATGGGGAGACCTTCGCATTTGCGATAGGTTCTACGCATTTGCGGGGCTCGAATTTGCGAACCCCTGGTCGCAATTGCGACAACTGCAACTGATCAGAATGACTTTTGGATGGGATTTTTCATTCGTTCTTCAAATTTTCAAAACCTAAAAAACAAGAGGCGATTTTCCAAAGACTTCTTCTTTCCCAAATCATAGGTAAGTGAATCTTAGCTAGTTTCTTTCAATCTTTCACTTCATTTTACAAGATTTCAACCTAGAATCTAAGGTTTTCATGGTGGAATTGGGTATTTTTGGGTAGAAACTAGGGATTTTGAAATTTTGGGATTTAAACCTCAAATTGAGGTCGGATTCCAAAACCAATTATATATCTGGGATAGGGGATGAACAGGTAATCGGGTTTTGATCCGAATTTCGGGTTTGGACCAAGCGGGCCCGGGTGTTGGCTTTTGTTGACTTTTTCAATAATGACCTAAATTGAGTCCTTTGTTATCGTGGGTGATTCTTAATGCTTATTTTGAAACGTTTGGTTGGTAATTTGCTAGATATTGTTGGTTCGGAGGTGTGTTTGAAAGGCAAAGCTATGATTGAGCTTTGAGTGGCCTTGGGTTCGAGGTAAGTGGCTTGCCTAACCTTGTGTGAGGGAACTTCCCTTAGGATTTGGTGTTGTTTGATATATGAGCGTCGTGTACGTGAGGTGACAAGTACGTACACGGGCTATTTGTTGTAAAACCCCTTTTTTCACTAAGTCATAAACCTATTTTCTCTTGTTTGAATTACATTAGCATATGTACTATCCTGTTTAGATTAGAAAAGCATGCCTACGTGTTTTAACTGCCTATTTGAACTTTATGCAGCATGTTTAGTGATATTACCTAGTTTTCTTGGTTTGAACTTAATCCAAACTATAGCTTCTCTTGCTGTGACTGTTAATTATATTGGTTGAGAGCATATTTACTTTGGGACTACGGAACGGTATTCCGGGAGATACCCCTGTATTGCATATTTACTTTGGGACTACAGAACGGTATTCCAGGAGATCTCCCAGCACTGCATATTTACTTTGGGACTATGGAATGGTATTCCGGGGATCCCCCTGCACATTTACGTTTGGGACTACGGGACGGTCTCTCGGGAGTTCCCCCTGTTGCTATTACTGTGTTCTAAGCTATTGGCTTTCATTGAGTTCTATTCCTGCTAGACTTCCGTATTTATTTTACTGTAATATTTCTTTCGGTATTGTCTCATTATATTTATACCAGTAGGGCCCTGATCTGATCTCGTCACTACTCGACCAAGGTTAGGCTTGGCACTTACTGGGTACCGTTGTGGTGTACTCATGCCTTTTCTTGCACATGTTTTCCGTGTGCAGATCCAGGTACTAGCCATCAGCCTCGAGTCTAGCTGTGTGGTTGCTGCTTCAGGAGACTTCAAGGTACATTTGCCCGCGCCCGCAGACCTCGGAGTCCCCTTCTATCCCCTATGTTCATTTTCTTCTTTTCCGTAGAAATGATGTATAGAACAGTTAGGACTTCTTAGAAGCTTGTAACATTGCGACATTCCGGGTTTTGGGAAAGATGATTATTGTATATGCCAAGTGGCACCGTTTCTGTTTATTAATTATATCTGTTAGCTGTTACCCTTGTATTTTCATTTCAATTCCGCAATATTAGGCTTACCTAGTCGTAGAGACCAGGTGCCGTCACGACGGTTCATAGAGGGGGGAAATTGGGTCGTGACAGAAAAGTGCCACTTTATGGAACGACAAAATTAGGGTGGTGGCATTGTTACCTTGCTTTTTCTTTCATCTTGCCCTTCCTTATTATTAAATAATCATATTGTATTCTTTGCCCTACTCTTTTATATAATAGTTCTACTTCATATCCTATTTTTTCTTAGTAATATTGCAAGTTTTTTTTTCACATTCTCGGTGCGTGACATCGAGAAATGACGACAAACGATACAATCTATCCAAATATTATATTCATCAAACAGAACAGTACAATACAATACGATACATTATGAAACGATATGTAACAACTAGGAGTGTACAAATCGCACCAAACCGAAAAGTCAAACAAACCGATTAAAAAACCCGACTAGGTTTGGTTTGATTTGGTTTGGTATTGAATAAAAAACCCCGAACTAAACTGACATATAAATATATAATTTTTATATATATTTTTAAGATTTTATATTGAATTTTCTTTAATTAGAAATATTTGGGGTTCTCTTACAGGATATAATATTTAATAAAATATGTAAGTGATCCATATTCATTAACCTTAAAAAATAGGTTGTATGATCTCTTTCTTATCAAGTGTTACTGAAATGCGTCAATCTCTTTGTTCTTCCATATTCATGTGTCAAGATCTATTAAATTCTTATATCTTTTTTCGAATTTGAAGTGGTTATTATTATTTAGGTATTGATTTTTATGTTTAATTATTAAATTCGGTTAACCTTGAAAGCGTAAAAAAATAACTATTATGTATTACTAAGTAAATTCTCCCGTAAGAATATATAATATGTTTGTCAATTTTTTAAATTTTTATTAAACATATATTTACTTATCAAAAATTTAACAAAGTAAAATTGAAATTATATTTAAGTAACAAAAAACCCGAAAATCCAAAAAATTCGCCAAAACTGAACCAATCCAAACCGATATAGTTGGTTTGATTTGATTTTGATAAAAACCGAACCAACCCGTACACTCCTAGTAACAACAATCCAAACAAAGTGTAAAAGAAGAATAAAAGGCCATCTACGGACTACGATAGGTTGCCCATGTGGTAGGAGATCGTCGTGCATTAATTGAAGCGAAGAGAAAGGACGACTGTTAATTCAGGTAATTAACCCACCAACCAATTTTATTTGTAAAATAAAACAAAATAAAAAAAGAAAAAGTAAGAGTGACCATTTTATTGTATATAGCTGAAATGAATGCCACCATTCCACCTTTTTGGAACCTTTGAATTAGGCGATGAGTTTTTATTTGTTTCATACATACATGCAAATGCAGAAACGAGATAATTGGATATCATGATCTGGGGTTTACTAATTTTTCCACCAAGATCATGATATATCTCATTTCATATACCTTCCATTTTTTTTTATATCTTTTTCTTCGTCATTTCTAATCAACAACCTAACTTCTAGATTCTCATGAAGTATATTCCTGGCTTTGAATCTTGGGGTGTTTTAGTTAAAACCTTATTATATAATTAAAGTAGTAATTAATGGATTCAGGATCATTCAAGTGCTTTGGTGATCAGAAGTTGGGAAAATTTGTACATTTCTTCGTATATGCTATTCTTGAATGGGTGTTGATCATTACGCTTTTCATTGATGGATTTCTTGCATTTTTTGCCAATGAATTTGCCAGATTCTTTGAATTAAATATTCCATGCTTGCTTTGCACGAGGATAGATCATGTTCTTGTGCATAGGAACTCAAATTTCTATTACAATGATTCCATTTGTGATGTTCACAAGAAGGACCTTTCTTCCCTTGCCTATTGCCATGTTCACAAGAAGCTCTCTGAAATCAAGAATATGTGTGAAGGCTGCCTTTTGTCATTTGCAACCGAGAAAGATGCCGATTGCCATAGGTATTGTTAAATTGATGACTGTCTCATCTAAAAGCTTAAACTGTTAAAAAAAAAAGGCATTTTCGTTTAATTAGGAGCATTTAATGTGTAAGCCAAATTCTTGTATTTTTCGTACTTGGTAATGGTGATATTTGAAACCAAGACCTCTACTGATATCATGTTAAATTGTGTGACTATCTTATCTAAAATTCGAGAGAACGCAATTTTGTTTAATAAGTTACGTCGTCTTGAACAGGTACAAGTCACTAGCTGGGATTTTGCACAAGGACATTGATTGCTTTGTAGGGGATGATATGAAAACAGGGAAGAAAGAATTAGATGAGACCATCCAAATAGAGAAGGGTATAGTACATAGGTGTTCTTGTTGTGGGGAGCCTCTAAAAATGAAGTCCAAATATGCAAGGAACACATCAATAAATGGAAGGTCTTATTCTCAAGCTCCTGCACCTTCTCCTCGAGCTTCTCCTAGAGCTCCATTATTAGGTGCATGGAGAAATATTGAGGAAGCACGCCATGTTGAATCGCCTCGCATTCGCTACACAGAGCTCAAGTTCATACCAGATGATGAAGGCCCCTCAAATGCAGGTAATCTACTAATTGTTTTAGCAATTTCTTTTCCTTTATGTTAATTGATTTCTCAACATTCTTTGTGTAACAAATTTATCAAGAGGCTTTTAATTTGGTACTTTGATTTGGTCCAAGATTGTATATTTGTATAAGTGTAAGGATAAGACTGAGATGCAAACCATGTAAATGCTTAGGTTGTTGGTGTGACAATTGCATTTTCATCAGGTAAAGAGAATGTGAAAGCTGCTACTATGCCACTGCTAGCACATTCCGAAATCACACATGAAGCTCCCTGCAAAACCCCAAATTGTACAAGAAACAAATTTTTTGGAATTCCATTAACAGACTCAGCTCACGAAAGTCCTAGGTTGTCGCGTCACAGGCCCAGAAAGTCATGGCTTAGTGATAAAATTGAAGTCACTTCAGAGGCTAATGACACAAGTAGTGCATTGAACGAATTGGAAGACGACATCTTGCATCGGTTGAAAAAGCAGGTTCATTTGGACCGTAAGTCTCTGGTGGCACTATACATGGAATTAGACGAAGAAAGAAGTGCATCTGCTATTGCAGCGAATAATGCAATGGCTATGATCACTCGTTTGCAAGCCGAGAAAGCAGCTGTTGAAATGGAAGCATTTCAGTATCAGCGAATGATGGAAGAGCAAGCAGAATATGATCAAGAGGCGTTGCAGTTCATGAACGACGAGCTTTTGAAGAAAGAGGAAGAGATGAAGGTGTTAGAAGCTGAACTTGAGACTTATAGGGAAAAATATGGACATATAAAGACTGTAGGTAGTGAAGTTTGTGAAGTTGATGCTGATGAAGATTATCAAGAACTGAAATCTCAGTGTTTATCATCTATTAGTGAGAGATCAGATTGTGCCAGCCTGGATGAAGTAGATCGGCATAGACTAAACGAGCGTCCATTTCAGTGTTCCGGGGAAAATGGAGGGGTCAATGTGGATGATTCACAACTTGATTTTGAGAAACAAAGATCTTATCTTATGGGTTTGTTGACAGATGTTGTAGAGAAAATTAAAACATCTCCTGAAGACGGATCTCATATGTTGGAACCCAACATGACTGAAGAAAAAGGTACATGAACCTGTTTTATTAGTATAATTTAACTTGTTATCGCACGTTATCCTCTTTATTTTCCAGGTAATCCACTTATTATGTACTATTATAGTTATCTTTTATGTGACATGATAGTGTAAACATCGATGTAGAGAAGTTAATCTCTTTCATTTGATATTTCAAAGACTGCATATAAACTAATCATTGTTTTCAAATACTGGCAGGAAGTGAAAATAAGGTCACTCTCACAAGAGAAGTGTCATTAATTGGAGAGAGGTTGAGAGCCATTGAAGCAGAAAGCGGCTTCTTAAAACATGCTGCGATGACATTACAGAGCGGTGATGAAGGAAGCAAACTCTTAACTGAGATAGCTCAACATCTGCAGAAGCTAAGACGCTCGGTCAATACCTCATCAGCAGATGCAGATGCTGGGATTCAGTCCAAATAAGGTGATTTCTCCATAGTAATTTCCTTTTTTATTTGAGTTGATGTATCTAAGTATCTTCCTCCCAGAGGTACTGCAATTTATATGAAGCAGACAAATTGGAGGAACTAGCATAGATGGCTATGAATCATATAAAATTTTGATGGTCGTGTTCACGAGCTATAAAAAGATTAATGCTCTTATTAGCCTGCAACTGAATTCTACTGGTATACTAAGGATTCATATAGCCGATCCTAACTCGCTTGAAAAATAAGTATATCCGTTGATTATGGCTTGAAAAATACTTGAGAACTATAGCTACACATACCTTACTTATGTAATTTGACATATGATTAATTGCATCTCGTGTCTAAAACTTCTAGGGGTATGAGAGCACACTTAACCAATTGCATTTACAGGTGAAATTGGCAAGGAACCAGACAACTCTGGTATAATCCAGCAAGCTACTCACCTTAGCTTAGTCCAAGTGGAAACACCGAGAAGCCACGAATCGTTTGGACTTGGCAATTGAGTTAAATGTAACACTCGTGATGATACACTTTATGAAGATTCCAGAAGTTACTCTAGTGGAGAATGAAGAACTATTGTTGTTAAACAATATATGTAAATATACGTACGTACATACATACATACATATGTTTTCATTTATATTACATACACACAAATCTATAGATAATGAAAGACTTTCTCACGGTTGTGACTTGTGATTATTCCATTTATATTTTTTCAAATAGGTTGAGTGCACTTGCAAATTCTCTATATTTCATTAAATTATGAAACAATTATCATATTCAACTTCATAGTGCCAAATATACTAAGTGCTATTTCCAGCTATTTTTATTGAATAAACTGATAAATGCATTTATTTGAATTAATCAGTAATTCAAATAAATGCATTTTACTCTGATCTTTCCTACTATAGAGCCGGATGTGAGCTTATATCTCAGATAGTAGATCGTCAGTTCTCTCACAGTTAGTCACCGTTGTAACGACTCGACCGGTCGTTTTCGTTTAGCGATTTGAGACTTTAAGCAGCTTCATATCATGCATTATGACTTGTGTATATGGTTGATTTTTATTTTCGAGAGGCTCAGAGTTGATTTGGAAGAGTAATTCTCAGTTCAGAAGCTTTAAGTTGGAAGAGTTGACCAAGGTTTGACTTTTGAGTAAATGACCTTAGAATCGGGATTTGATGGTTTGAATAGGCTCGTATGGTGATTTTGAATTGGGCGTATGTTCGGATTTGAATTTGGATGTTCCCAGAAGTTTTTGGCTCTATTTTTTGAAAGTTGGCAATTTGAAGTGTTGGAGAGTTCATAAGTTTGACCAAGAGTTGACTTTGATGTTATTGGATTCCAATTGGTGTTCTGAGACTTTGGATAGGTCTATAAAGTTGAATTAAACTAGTGTACAAAGTTTGGAAGTAATCAAAAGTGTGTATGTGTGATTCGGACACTCTTTTGAAAGAGTGAAGATTTAAGAACTTAAGAGAAATTCTATTCGGTTTAAGCCGCGTTTCATTGTTGTGATGTTCCCGTGGGTGGTTTGAGCCTTTGGACAAGTCCATATGGGGTATTTGGACTTGTACGAATGGTTAGATGGAGTTTCAAAGGGCTCGAGTGAGTTTCAGCGTATTTGGACCAAATTCTGAAAGATTAAGTTGCTGAAACGGGGCTTTTCTGCAGATGACTTGACTTCAAAAGAGCATTTTTCTCAATCTATAAAGAAATTTTGGGGCAATTTTGATGAGATTGTAGCCCTTGGAGTCTAACTTCTTGTGGTTCAAACCGTTCATCATTCCGACATTTGAGCATGAAGTTATGATCATTTTACTGAAGGATGGCAGAGCAGTTTTTGGTCAGCAGAGTGTTGCAAGTTGCAACACTACCGTGGCACATGGGGAGACGCACGGGGTGCCGTGGCAGTGTATTTTTACTGCCAGATGGCTCTTCACACTATAAATTGAGCTCATTTCATGGTTTTGGCATTTTTCTTTAATTTTGGAGCATGGGAGCTCAGTTTTGAGGGGTTTTGACCCATTTCTTCATCAACCATATTGGGGTAAGTGATTCTAACTCATTTTTGTCATCAAGTTAAGGATCTAACATTTCTTTTAATATGAAATTAAGGATTTAGGAGAAATCAAGTGGAAAATGAAAGAAAACTTAGAAATGGAGAAATATTGATTTAAGCATGTTATGACATCAAAAATGAATTTTGATTATCGATTTGGGTTCCATGACTCATGGGTCATCGAGATTTGGTCTTGGACTCAGGGTTTGACTATATGGACCCGGGTTGGCTTTTATTGACTTTTTGGAAAAAATTTAAATATCGAAGCTTTATGGTTTGGGATTGCTTTTTATAGCATTGCTTGACTTCCTTGGATGATGTTTGGCTTGGAATTGCATGATTAGAAGGCTAGAGCAAGGTTCAACGCGATTTGAGGTTGAAGACTAGTCGGATAAGGTAAGTGTCTTGCCAAACTTTTGAGAAAAATTTTCCTAATAAATATTGTTGTTTTCTATATGTGGGTGTGATGTATATGCGAGATGGCGAGCATATATACATGTGTCAGGGTTATCCATGCTCCGGGGTAGATTCTAAACTACTCTATGTTTTGTTAGGTTGTGCGACTCTACGTGTTCTATGCTTCTACTTGATTGAACGACTACGTGAGTACGAGAAATCATGCTAAGGAAGATATTTAGGTTAATGATACCTTATTTTGAGCATGATGAGTTATTCTTGAGATTATTGAAATACCTTAATTAGACGTAGTCACGCGTATACCATGAACACGCACATACACTTGTTATTCTAGTGTTATGCCTCAAGTTGATATATGACTACTTGAGTTATTTTACCCAAGTTAAAGACTATGATTTGTCTTTTAGTTCTTATTGGAGGCTTGATGATTGTTTGAATGACGTATTGCTTGTTGGGTTTGTAGTCATACGTGCATATCGGCATATATCCTACCTAGGAATCATCCCTTGTATGCATGGTTATTTCTCTGTCCATGTGCATACGTATGCTTATCTCTCTTTCATATACATACATTCCTGCATATGGCTTTCGAATGTGGATGGAGGTTATGTCACGAGGTTTCGGTCGGATATTTTGATATTAATATTGATTGGGCACAAGATCTTTCTCGTACAGAGATGATGATTTTATTATTAATTGGGCATGAGGTCGTTGTCGTGCAGAGATGATGATATTGTTATTGATTTGGCACGAGGTCTTTGTCGTGCAACGATTTTAATATTATTATGGCATGAGGTCTTTTTTTGCCGTGCAGCGTGTGGATATGGATCCATCCCCTAGTCGCCCTCTCATGTTTCTCTCTTGATGGCGTACGCGCAGGTTGTGAGAAACCTACAGGTTTCTGGTTGATTATGATGTGGGATCTAATGTGATGAGTTATTGGGCATTAAGGTGGAAGCTTGGCCGTTCAAGTGATCCTTTGTGCATATTCATGCATTTTACATGCTTTATACATGCATATAATCTATATATGCCAATTGAGGAATCTAATGTGATGAGTTATTGGGCATAAAGGTGGGAAGTTTGGCCATTCAAGTGATCCTTTGTGCATATTCCTGTATTTACATGCCTTATTCACACATATCATCTACATATGCTAGTTGATGCATTTCACATATGTATGAGTCTTGTTAATGAGTTGTTAGACACTTGAAAAGTGTCGGATTGATGGCAAAAGAGAGTTATAGCCTGTTTGGCCAAGCTTCTTTTTGGCCAAAAGTGCTTTTTTTGGCCAAAAGCACTTTTGGCAAAAAATTGAGGTGTTTGGCAAAGCTTTTGGAAGGAAAAAAAGTGCTTTTGAGGAGAAGCAGAAGCAGTTTTGGAGAAGCAGAAAAAAGTAGCTTCTCTCCAAAATCACTTTTTTGAGAAGCACTTTTGAGAAAAATACACTTAGAAGCAGTTTTTTAAAGCTTGGCCAAACACTAAATGCTACTCAGAAGTGCTTTTCAAACTACTTAGCCAAACACAAACTGCTTCTCACCAAAAGTACTTTTGAGAAAAGCACTTTTGAAAAAAAACACTTCTCAAAATAAGCTGATTTTTCCAGCTTGGCCAAACAGGCTATTATTATCGTACATTGATATGTTGGACTCATGTAAAGGTTTCATAAACTTGGAACCTAGAAATAGATATAGAAGTGGATCATTGTCACACCGCATAATGCATGTCTCTTTTATGTGCGAAGTTGGCGCAAGTCGTACTTACTTGTTTTGTTAAATGGCAAAGCTTTTTTAATACCTTTACCCCAGTTGCGTACCTTTACTATTAATATCCGTTATTCTGTGACTATCAGTTTAGATACTTCTCTAAATTATATATGTTATTGAGCTTCACATGTAATATTATGTGAGTATCTTTTGACTTAAAAATTCCGTCGCTACTTCACCGAGGATAGTCAAGATACGTATTGAGTACATGGGATCATTGTACTCATACTAAATTTCTTCACCTTGCGTACAGATCTTGGAGCTGAGCTGTTGTGGATGACGAAGGCTAGTATTGGAGTGTACCAAAAATCCAGACTCGAGCTACCACTTGTTCATGGTAGTTTAGGACTTATAATTCATTTTATGTAAACTTCAAATAGATGTTGTATTTATTCTCCGTATCATCTTTGTAAATCTAAATCTTAGTAGCTCATGACTTGTACTACTAGTCCTTGAGATAGATGTACAGATCTTCTATCATTTTATTTATTGATTATGAATAATTTTCATTCGAGATATGTCATGTTATTGTTTGGCTTACATAGCATATTGAGGTTAGGTGCCATCACGACTATACGAGATTTTGGGTTATGACAAGCTGGTATCAGAGCTCTAGGTTCATAAGTTCTACGAGTCATGAGCAAGTATCCAGTAGAGTCTTGTGAATCGGTACGATGACGTCCATACTTATTTTCGAGAGGCTACAAGTCATCCAGGAAACTTCACCTTCTTTCCTTCCTTGTTGTGCAACCTTGATTCGACTTAAAGCTTGTATCTTCAGTTTCTTTCCATTCACTTGTATGTGATATAGAGCACTCAGTATCAACTATGCACTGACAATTTATGACGTCGTAGATGGAGAGCGAGATGTGTTTCTACATAGTGAAGGTAGGCCAGTTTGGAGTACTTGAGGCCAGGTTTAGACCATAGCTTGGGCTCGGCAAATTCAGTTATATAAGTATGTGTCCTTGGACTCTTACGTCCGGTGGTGTCCCTAGTGGTGGAATTGATGGCCCAGTTAGTGGCTAGATAGCTATGTGATAAGTTCTATGTGACTGAGGACTGCTCTTAGATGGTTTGGATATGATAAGAAGGATTTTCTTGGGGTGCAAAGGGCTATGGATGCCTGATTATCGTCTCGATGTGTTGTATAGTCGTAGATGTGGGGTGTTGGTGAACCTTTCAGTTGTTCACTCATGGGATGATATGGATTCTTGTTTTTATTAACGACTATAGACTCGGGAGAATTAATTGATAGCATAGTAGTTGTGACCATGGTGGAGTCGCAAAAAAGATGTCGATTTGAGGTCAAGCAGGTGGGTTATCTCCTGCTGGAAGGTTTGATGTTGCGTGGTTCTTATGAGGCTTCTATAGAGAATTTTCTTTCTATCCGATGGAATGTATGTACTACGATTTGAGTTCAGATTGCTTGTGGAAGTTCGCACG